AGCCTGAAAGAAAGCATCGCTATATTATAGCATATGCAGAACAATATGGCCTGGAGCGCAGAACACATTGTGCTTGCTTCCATACATCACGCACTTATTTAGCAAATTTCTCTGATTCAATCTGCATTACTATCAGTTGAAAGACATACATTTCATTAAAAAATGACAAAAACGACCGAACACTGTTATCACCTACCATTTTCACGGAAGTGCGCAGGAGGCCACATCACTGCACGGCGGTTGGCGCGCAACTGAAACTTTCAAAATGAAACGGCCGGAAACGTTTTTGGCGCCACCTATATAACAAGTAACAGCTTTGTATATGTTACTACTAACACGTCTAACTAGCGTAACTAAGTCAGTGTTGCAAAGGTGTAGCTGATACCTTTGACAAGGACATAGATTACATAAGTATGTATCAGTATTGTTGCAATGGTGTAGCTGGTTCTTTCGACAAGGATATAAATTACAAATCATAAGCAAATCTATGTTCCATATTACGAATAAAACCCTGGTAGTTTTCACAATAGCCTCCATAATCCTCGTCAATTTTATGAATGGTCGACTGGGTGCTGGGGCTGATACTAATATTTGCCCTGTTGATTCAACCAACTATGACAAGATATTCGTCGTTCGACATAACCTTTATTAGTATTTTTGACAAACGCTCGTCGTTGTACGACAACCCCTTGTCAAAATGAGTTTACAGTGAAAAGGAGCCGGAGTCGCCCCCTTTTTTGACGGCTCCGGCGGCTCCGGCTCCGGCTCCGGCTCCGGCTCCGCATCCCTGATAATAATGCATGCGTCCGTACTCATGAGCAATTGTGCCATTATGTGCTTAGTATGTACATTCCCAATTCTAAAACAAATGCACAAGGCTGATCTGATAGCGCTCGAAGGTGGTTCGCCGTTAGGAACCGGTCAGATGAGCGACCCGTTCAAACTTCAGACCTCTTTTTGCGCACGTGCGCGGAGTGTGTAGGCCATTTTTGCATCTTGATGACGGCTGGCAGTGGACCGATTACGCGCAAAGTAGGCACGCCGTAAATGACCCTTGGGAACATAGATCAGTGGCCCGCACAACTCAGTTGAAAAGAAGTTGTTGGCAATGGTATTGTCAATAGTTGGCAATGCAGGTAAAAACGCACGTGAAGGACCCCCCCCCCCCCCCAGTAGGGCGCGTTATACGCAGACCCCAGTGCAGTGAAGCGCGAGTTACTTAGTTTAATTAAGGAGTATAATCTGATTTGCTTGCCACCAGGGCCTCGTTTCATAAAGCGAGTCCGTAACTTACGCCGGTTTTTGGTATTGTATTGCAAGTGCATGTGAAGCGATGACGATAATTTGAATCTTAAGTACTACAAGGCACCCATACCAATAGCTTTGCCAAGGTTAGTTGGATACAATCATGGAGCAAGCCGTGACTTGAAAATCCGCTGAAGACACTTGAAGTTAAGCAATTACAGGAAAGAAGCATCTTCCAGATAGAAGTATAAGAGATATACGAATTTTACCAGCCAATTTCTCGCTACCTTAACCCTCGCCGGACCTATTGGTTTTCTATATACGCACCGGCCGAGGGGGGGGGGGCGGGTACGACCCCCCCCTCGCCGTTTCGCCCCTGGTGGAGCTAGCGCGTCGCTGAAAAAACCGAGCGTGTGCGCCGTTACGAGACGCAGAGATTGGTACCCAATTTTAAGGTCCTAAGTCAACCGATGACCTCTGAGGTCAGGTCAAGTGCCCCAAGGTACGGTTCAGTTTTTGGTGAATAACTTCGCAAAAAACGGCCGCAGAGCGCCGATTTTGGCAGCATCGTGTTTGCCTCGCTCAGGCGCGTCGAATGATATACTTTTTGTCCGGGTCAGGTCAACTTAGGGTGTTGACCTCAGGTCAAAGTCAGGTCAGCACCCCCAGGTCACGAAGTTGGTCGAAAGAGGTCATGTCGCATATCATTCGATTTGGTAGGTCTTCCTGAGTCCATTGGTGGCTTTTCCGACTTGCTAGCTCAATTTGATCCAGAGTTATTGACGAAAAACTAACATGACCTTGATGACGTCATAAATGACGTCACGCAAGGTCAACATGGCAAAAGTGGCGCATCTAACCTTGCAAGGAGTGCATCAAATCACGGTTCTGTGTGCTTGAGATAGTTGGAGATCGTTCCCGGCGCCAGAATAGCAGTTTTCATTTTTCCCCATTGACTTATAATGGTGAGGTCACGAAAATGACCTTACCTCATATGACCTTTAGGAAAAATCCGAGATATACAAGTTGTGAGACTCAAAGTTGATACTAGATCCTGCAAGTTTCATTTCCCTGCGACATCTCCTCTGGCAGTGAATGCGTTGCGAAGTCGCGACATCTGAAGACCGTGCAGAGGTTCACTTATGACGTCATAGGTCAGTGACCTGACCTGACCCAAAAATGCGGTTGGTGTCAAAAGATCCGACTTGAATCAAAGGTCAGGTATGCCAAGTTTCAGCTCTCTATCGCCAGCGTGTTCGGAGCTATCGCGAAAAAAAACCTATGGGGGGGCGGCACCCGCCCCCCCCTCGGCCGGCGAGGGTTAACCCCTCTTTTGGTCAACTGAGGATAAGCTTAATTTGTTTTGAACAAGATAAATGCTTACATCGACATCAGTCATCAGCTAAACCAGTTTTCAATTTGCCGTGTACCTTATGAACTGTGTAGAACGTTTAACATTCGAAGTCAACACATATTTGGTTCCTGAATCCTGAACAGTGTTCAAACCCCACACTGTTCACAAAATATTAAATTCAAAAGTGTATATTGCATTTAATTGGTTTTTAGCAAGAAATTGCGCTTAAGCCAACACCCTTAGGTATATACTTAAGTGAAATATAATCTACTTTGTCATATGTGTGCAAACTGTCAATAAATTCTCATTCATTCATCAAAATATGATCATCTGTCTTCATGTCCTGTAAAAATGAAATAATTCTAACAATACCTACTTGAAGACACCAGCTCCTACCGGTGCGATAAGTGCCCAACAGCCCATGCTCGGCCTGCCCGCTACTGATAAAAATGATCCTGTAGCGGCCGGTCCCAACCAGACATGAAGGAATGTCCTTCACTTTTCCGGTTAAATTAATAGCTTCTAACCGGTTTTCATGTTGGACCACGACCTCCACTTCACTGCCACGAGCAGACGCATCTATATTTAGAATCAGTTTTCCACATACTGAGTGTAGTGCACTGATGTAATGAAGGATTGATATTGAATGATTGAATCCTTTGGCGTAATCCTTGCTATGTGATCGAAGAAAGAGAACGGGAGAGAGAGAAATAATGAAAAAAAGGAAAAGAGGTAGAGGAACAATTATACGAGAGAGAGAGAGAGAGAGAGAGAGAGAGAGAGAGAGAGAGAGAGAGAGAGAGAGAGAGAGAGAGAGAGAGAGAGAGAGAGAGAGAGAGAGAAGGAGGAACAGAGAGATAAAGAAGGCGAGAGAGAGAGAAGGAGAGGGACAGTGGGAGAGAGAGAGAGAGAGAGAGAGAGAGAGAGAGAGAGAGAGAGAGAGAGAGAGAGAGAGAGAGAGAGAGAGAGTCCGGGGTCAAGTGAAGTCGACACACCCATCAGTATTGTGTGCAGTCACTACAATGTCGTACCATGAAGTGCGTCGAAAGCTCAGACTCTTAGTCAAGTCACGGTGGAAGTCATGCTGCAACTCATGCAATAAGTGGCTGTTGCACTCTGAGCGTGGTGTGTTGCTAGGGAAGGACGGGTTGAAGGCTACACTCAGCAGGTGGAGAGAGTGGGGATGGAGGCAGAGGGAAAGGAAAATAGGGAAGGTCAGTGGAAAATGGACAGAGAGGAATGGAGAAATGAAAATGTAGTGAGGAAGGTTGAGTGCAGAGTTTAAAGAGGAGAAGGGGAGACCGAAAGGGAGAGAGAGAGAGAGAGAGAGAGAGAGAGAGAGAGAGAGAGAGAGAGAGAGAGAGAGAGAGAGAGAGAGAGAGAGAGAGAGAGAGAGAGAGCAAGAAAGAACGAGTAAGATACAGACAGCGATTGGGCTCTGGGGTGATAAGACTATAGAGCTTCAAGAAATCATCTTGACTAGGCACTGAGCACTGGACGGCCTTCACTATGATGTTTGCAAACACCAGCGTTTCGACGCCACACTTCCACTGAGTCTGAAAGATCATTGTACAGGAAGACGTCAGCCAAATGACCTTCGTGGTTGCATTCCTGCGTCTGCAGCCGGCCAGTGTAATGGTTTTATGCGTTACATTTCCGGCTCTTGTTATCATTGGAGAATGACGCGGGACTAGCTGCGAAAATAAACACACTGCAGAGGAGTACAGACGCTAGACGCAGACGGCACAGACACCGGTGCTTATGCGAAACACGCTTGCAACGACGATGATGTCCAAAACACAAGACATGCAAGTTGCAATGTTGAGAGTGAATAGTCGTTACTGTTCACCCGACTGGCCTAACATAACAGCATTTCACTGTTGTTAGGTCTGGGCCGATATGTAGTTACGTTTCTCGCCTCGCGTTCGATTTGACACCTGACAGTCGCAAGAGCGGCAACGTTAGACCAGCAAGTTCGTTAATCAATACCAAATCGAAGTCGCAGCACATGTTCGGCCGGGCAAATAGGTTTTTACTGCGATCGATTTGCTGTGCTGCTGTGTCGCTGACTGACACCTGTGCACACTTCCCTGAGGCAGACGGGCATAGGTACTTTGAAATACGCCACATATCCAAGGTTAAAAACGGGAATGACACCTGCGGGGCTGGTCAAAAGTGCCGATCCAGTGATGCTATCAGAGCGAAGCTCAAGTTTTCGTTTTGTTTTATGGGGAGCAAGCTCTTTCGGTCTGAAAAGGCCATTGCAGAGCTGTGGTATAAGAGGTCGGGCATTACTGCAGAGAATAGCGATTTGAATAGCCGTCGTCTTCTTCCATTAAATTCAATGTGCAATTCATAAAACATTTTCTGAATAACCCCAGACACTTCTCTCCTGTTTCAGACTCCGTCACCATGCTGGACGTCGACGCTACGTTTGTTGAGATCAACGGCTGGGGCCGGTACCAGAAGCTGATGTACCTGCTGCTCTGCCTACCGACTAGCATCGCAGGGGCGGCCGTCATCAGCCTATCATGGACCGGCTTCAACATGAAGTACAGGTTAGAAACGGTAGTCAACTTGAACTAAAAGTCAGTAAATGTGAGTGCGTATTTTTCGCTATGCTTGGTCAAAGGCCGTTAGGATGCAGTTTTGTTTATGTTATTTGTTCTGTCCTCACCAATGCCACCGTAAGAGAAATCTGAATAAAAGTTATGTTTGTCAGACACTAAACAACGCTGAGGTGTGGAATAGCATTGTCAGCCTTGTGAGTTTCCAATGTTTTATTGAACATCGTTGGGAAACGGGGTCCAGGATAAACAAACAATACAAACTTGGACAAATTTTGACTTAGTTACACTCATAAAACGACCTTGTTTTATTTTGGAATATCAGTCTCATTATCATGTCAAACATGTCACACTCTCCAGAAACAAAAGTCACGCACACATCTCCCAGCAGTTGATAAAATAAGCTGAACAATGAACATTCTATGCGTCACACCAAATGCACAAAGCGCGCTCGGTCTCCCCCGAACAGAGCACCTTTCAGTTTCATGGCCGAGTGAGTCGGCAGGGTATTTTGGCCCCGCGCAGCCAGCTCGTACCCTCCCGGGTACCTAATTTTGGGCCGCACGCCCGAACCACGAGAGAGGCGTGACCTTTGGCACCGAGCCAACAGGCAACAGTTTGACATCCACACACGTGGGCGCTTCGTGAGCGATAGTGGGAGGGGAGGGGACAGCTCAGTATGTGTAGAGGTTACTGGACGTGCGGACAGGCTTAGAAACATTTCTATTTTAAAACCGTGGAAGGCAAAACGATCGATGTTTTACGCAGGGCTGCGGAGTCGATAGATTTTCGGCGACTCCGACTCCGACTCCGACTCCGGCTTTCAAATACCAGCTCCGATTCCGACTCCGACTCCGGGCAGAATTGTCGACTCCGACCGACTCCAACTCCCGACTCCGACTCCGCAGACCTAGCAGGGCTGCGGAATCGACAGATTTTCGGTGACTCCGACTCCGACTCCGGCTCGGGTTTCTAAAATCGACTCCGACTCCGACTCCGACTCCGGTCACAACTGTCGACTCCGACCGACTCCAACTCCGACTCCGACTCCGCAGCCCTGGCTGTGAACTTAATCAATCGCATTTTTCTTTTTCATTACGGTGCTAAAAATGACCTTATGCTCACATGGTACGATAGTGAACATTGAAATGATAGCGTAATAAGACAAATAAATATTACCTACCGATATGTTTCGATTTGCGTCGTCTTCGCTTTTTTCACACGTAGTAAAACAACGTACTGTTTTTTTTTTTTACTCATTTGCTATTCCGTTTCAGGTGCTTGGTGCCCGCCTGCGAGAACGCCACTAGCGCCACCTATGAAGCGTGGTTCCTCAACTTTACCACACCACGAGACGCCGACCCAAGTGACCCGGCTTTTCCTTGGAGCGAGTGTCAAACATTCCAGCCCATGGTGCAGGGACAGTGTAACGCTGGAGCTTTTAATGAGACTGTGACTCAGGAGTGTAGTCAGTGGGTGTACGATACGTCCATCATGGAGTACACCATCGTGTCAGAGGTGAGTCGGAGGTCAACAGGGTCACGAGGTCGGGCAGCGGGGTCATAGGTTTGGCAGAGGGGTCACGAGTTCAGACATCGTGGTCATGAGGCCAGGTAAATGGGCCACGATTCGCGACAGTATTGAGTTAAATGATTAGAATGAAGGTGAAAGAGTAATTAAATTGATATAAATCGGGATCATGAGGTAATGCCATTATCATTAAATCATTGCTTTTTGGTGTTTTCATGCAAGCTGCGTAGAACATTTACGTTTAATCCCACGCTGTCGTTCGATGAATTTCTTACGCTCCCTACGTATCTTCATTCTATGACAACTGAATGACATCGGAGAAAGGTTTATATTTACGACACATGTTGACGATCGTTTTCATATGTTTGTTTGTTTATTTATTTGGTTATGTTGCTTAGTTGATTAGGGTACGCCAACTGCAATAAACATTTTGCTCCCATAATATTTTCCAGAACTTTTACCCAGCCTGACTATAACTTGGCGTTTCCCCTGTGTTGCGTTATTTCAATAGCCCTATTCATTTGTTGCTCGCAGTACCAACTAAGCTGTGGTCGCGCCTGGCTCATCTCGCTGGCAAACAGTCTCTACATGGTTGGAATGTTTGTCGGATCGCTCGTACTGGGATACATCTCAGACAGGTGAGGATCCGCCGAAAACGTTCTTTACACATTACTGCAGTGTTGCAGAAAAAAAACTTTTTCACATTCGTGGCACGATTAGATACGCTACGATATTATTAGATAAGATTAGATATTCGTGTTATTCACCGCCATAACACTTATTTAACGATGGACTGTAGCTTTATACCTACCTACACAACAGCGTCGCTGCTTGTCCTGTGCGTACATATTTAGCCACTTCCTGATTTTGTCCATTGAATCGACGCCATTTTTTATTTCTCTAAACATGAACTACGCTTTCAGGTTTTTTTTTTGCATATACATATTGCTAAAATACATCATCCTAACTGTTTTCATTAAAATTTCATTACATACTCGTTAATGAATGATATATTCTTCCTGATGAACTACATGGGACACAAAAGCAATTATTTACACCGTTACATAGCTAACTATTCTCACTACATGACGAAGGCGGGGAGAATATCGAAAAGCACTATCACAGTCTCTTCTCACTCACGTGTGGCGAGATATTCTCTCCCGTGTGGCTGATATTGAAGTGAGAGGGCGTATTGTTACGCACGAATATCTTATCACTCCACTTCAGGTCCACTAACTTCAGTGGTTATAGCGATAATTTAAGTGCGATAATTGGGGTGACGAGAGACATTAAAGGTTGCCGGATATAATCTCGATATGAATCTGATATCGATGATAGGTTAGGCATGCGGAATATGTAGTCTGTTACATGGTAAGCTAACGTTCCACAACAACATAGGTATGTGTGATCATTTTCTATCATCTTCTTTATGGTTCTTAATGGTAAGGCATCTCGAAGCAGGGCGTTTGAAAGCGACTGATCCATTCCTCATTTCTCGCATTGCTCCAGACAAATGCACTCATCACTTAGAACGATGTTCACGGTTCACACGAGCGAAGAGGTCAAGAGGATGATAATTGAGTGTTTCCACAGTCCACACATTCAAGGAAGGAAGTCATCTTTGTGATATCTGAGCACCTTTCTACACATCAGCGATGTAAAGTGTGGCTGAATGATGACAGCACTAATGTCTTTTTCCTTTCCAGCCGGATTACGCGTTTGACAGGCACGTTTCGATTCGTGAAAAGGGTCAGATTAGTTTGAAGTAAGAGCACCAGGATGGGTTCCCCATTGTTTTTTATTTTTTAATACATATTGGCCGTTTTCACGACGGAACTTTCGCAGAGGAACTTATTTGATACCTAAAAAGTACCTACTCTTAGAGGCCTTAACATCCCTCAAACTGAAATATTTTATGTTCAAAATAATTTTAGAAGTTTAAATCCGGGCATTTTTTGCCCTCAAATCACTTATTTATTTACAAACACAGCAATTTTTGGTTCTAGTAGCCCACCTTTCGACTATGAGGTATTAAATCAGCGTGGCAACTTGCTCCCTCTTTGCTCCCTCGGGTATCTAATTCCGGAATTCTTAACCCGCGCCCTGCTGGGGGTCCTGGATTTCCACGCCCTGCTGGGGGGGGGGGGGTGTTTGAACACCCCCCCTTGTAACTCGGCTCCTGGGCCACGTAGCGATACGCGGAAGGCGGCGTTCGAAAGAGCGTAAAAAATAATGACGAAATCACTTCGGTCAATTTTTTGGTCAGGTCAAAGGTCAGGTCACCAGAGGTCATTGAAGGCAAAATTTCGCCGATTTCCAGGTCGAATGTCGAAAATTTCCAAGAAGCCAACGCATAACTCGGGAACCAATAGAGCTACAGCGCCGCGGAAAAGCGCATTCGATAGCCCTATTAACGCCCTTTCTGAGTAATTTTCTCAGATTTGACCTAAGGTCAACGGTTTTGCCTGCAGGGGGCAAAAACTGCAAAAATAGCTGATTTTTTCGGAAACAGTTTTTCTGCAGTAACTTTTGACCCAAGCCTTGTACGAGCTTACTTTTACCGGCATCGTGTTCCTCTCGTCAAGACGCATCGAATGAACTATAATTTGACCTTGAAAGGTCAACTTGAAAATTTGACCTCAGGTCAAGGTCATGACCTGACCGGAAAGGGTCATGTTGCATATCAGTCGATCCGTATCGTCGAGCTGAACACATCTAAGGCGTTTTCATCGCTCTAGCATGCCTCTATCAAAAGTTATTTGCGAAAAACTGTTAGATATCATTCGTGACCTAAGATGACCTCAGGGCATAAACAAGGGTCACGGACACCATTTTCAAGTTTAGTGTGTTTAAACCACTTGTAATTCGGTGTTTGGGAGTGTGTATAATGTCTTTCATCCAAAAGAGGCGCATTTCAATTTTCTCCCATTGACTTATAATGGGGAGGTCGCAAAATTGACCTGACCTTAGGTCATCGATATCAAAATTCTGAGATATACATTTTGTACATGCTATTGCTCTTAGCAATCGCTGAAAGTTTCAAAGCGATCGGTCACTCGGTGTAGCTATGACAGACATTGAAAGTTTTTATGAGGTGAGGTCACTTCAAGTGACCTGGTGACCTGACCTTGAATGACCTTGGTCTGAAATTTTCACAACATGTGTAGAATTGATATATGATAAGGTGTACCAAAAACGGCGGCGCTCCGCGCCGCCGTTTTTGAGATATTCGCGAAAAACCACAAGGGGGGGTGTTCAAACACCCCCCCCCCCAGCAGGGCGCGGGTTAAAAACAAGGAAAGTATATATCGAGTTCTCTTTTATACCTATTCAGTTATGTTTTAATGGTGATTAAAATATGACAAATTTTTTTAATTACATTTCATATAAGAAAACACGCAAAACAATGAAACAAAAATAACTACGGCAGATAATTACCTTCAGGTATCTAATTCCGACCAATCAGCACCTCAGTAGGATATGACGTCATACAAGAATGGTGGTGAAGGCCGTTTGCAGTCCCGGCCGGTAGGTCACGTGACCGCCGGGCGCCTCGGGTCACGCGGCGGTCGGGAGTCGGACGCGGGGCGTGGTCGCGGGCGGACGCGCGGGGCATCATGCTTTGCTTTGCTTGCTTTGTCAACTTCATATAACTTACTATCGCATTCGTGTGAAAGCCAAACACTGCTCAGTGCCTTTAGAAATTGAGTTTTGGAAAGCTCAAGTCCCTATAGCTCCTCAGGTCGGCAACAGTTGAAGCCTCATCTGAACCCATGTGAAAAAAACGAGGGTAAGGAACCTTGTGTTGCTTTTTCTTTTACCGTCATAATTATCTCAAACCATCACAATTTTGAGATGCCACATTGTCTGCTTCACTACATTCGTGTAAAACTTGGGTGAAGGCTGGTGGCTCAAAGAAAGGTGAAGATATTTCTTTAAGTGCCTAATCCGTGAAATTGAAATATCCCGGCTTTACAAATCTACACTTTTCATTTTCTCCACGATACATTTTTTGAAATTGTTTAAATTTTATCTACATTTGTTAAAATCGGGGCTTTGGTTTTGTGTAAACTAGATCATAAAGTTTACTATAGTTTTGTGTAACCTGATGGCTGAAGAAAATAGTAATTTTGCTAAAATGAGGTGCGGAAATTTGTTGCTTTCCAAATCAAATTACTCATACCTATATTTCATTCAAAATTAGGAGGCATTATTACTGTTTTTTTCTTGTAACATGAACTGAGTTTGGGTACGGTGCTCCGGAAACGTTGTGGAACTTTAAGCTAGCTAGAGCAGTTTCCATAAAAATTGTTTAGATAGTTGACATGGCATGTTGACAACTCTTTTGCTGTTTCTAAAAAAGTGAAAAAAATATTTTCCTGCATTAAGCACACAAGGCATGTTATTCTCATAAGCTATCGAATGTGTGTGTGTTTTTTTAAGCTGTTTTTTTAAGCTTTTAAGCTGTAACTTCAGTTACTTCACTTTAGAACATATTGCCCAGAATGCGTCACTGATCATGAGCTGGTATATCATATCATATGTAGCAAATACATAAATGAGAATAGTGTGTCATGAATTTTTGTGCATGCTTCTGGATCATCTGTAATTACATCAAAGGCTCGGCTCAAGAGTGTCCTGCCGACCAGCTTATGCCCAACCCTTTCTGTCCGCAGAACGTCGCCTGCGACTCCCGCACGCCGTTTGCCCCGGCCGTCCGTACTGGTCTTCGCGCTGCGAGCCGCGCTGGAGTTCGCGGCGGCGTCGTGGAGCTCCCATCGGGACGGCGTGTGATGCCCGCGTCGAGCTTATAAGCCGTGAGCTTCGATTGGCGGCTCACGCGGTCACCAGCTGTATGTACAGCCTCGGCCCCGACGACCCCGCTAATGGCCGAGACCGGCATACCCCCGGCATGGGTCCGCTGTCCGGCGCAGCGCTGGCCGCCCGCATGCTATGCTACTTTTGGCTGTATCGCTGCCCAGCGGGAGCGCGCTCCACGCTGCGGAAGAGGTACACGTTGCGACCCGACTGAGGACTGCAACCGGATGGTGACACGTCGGCCTCTGCGCCCTGGCCGGGGCAGGCGTGACCGACGTCACAGTGGAGGAACACCCAAACAAGACCAGCCCACCGTCGGAGCAGCATGGAAATATCATGTTCTGCCTGGACGTCGGACCCGGCGGCCGCAGAGCACCTGCACACGTGCGGAGAGGGGCGCTGGAGGCTACTCTGGAGCTTCTGCCATTCCGCGGCGCGACTGCTGGCAAAACGGCGGTGATTGAGGCGGTTGGGAACAGCTGCAGCAATGGTGATGGCGGTGATGGCGACATGGCGGTTTGGGACTTCATCTCAGCGCGGCCGCCGCCCAGGCGCCGCTGCGCCCGGCTGCTCAGCCACCTACCGGATGGCGGGGTGGCCCTTACGGCCCTCACGCCCGTTCGGTCTGCGGCCACGTTGTGGGGTGGCGGTCGCGGGGTTAGCGGCGTTGGACTTCGTCCTTTATCCAGACTGCACCGTACCATCTGAACGGATGGATCTGCCAAGAAAGATGACATCCAAGGCGGCTATGAGGCGATCACAAAGCTTCACCAAGAGCTTCTCATTCATGGGGCCGGCCGGCCGTTAAAGGGACCCTCCC